ATTATTAATAATATATTAAACAAGAATTAATTTCCTGTTTGATGATGCAAATTTTTCCAATATAATTTTCCCATCTATTTTATTGGTAAGATCTCTCTCAATGCTAAGCGTAAATAGCTTAATAAATCTTTCTTGGCCTATACTAGTGCGTAACCAATTTTTAAATTTACGCATAGCTGAAAAGGAGCGTTCACACGTTAAAGAAGAAATTGGAATTGTCATTACCATTTGAACTAGTTTATAAACATTTGGAAACAAACTTTTATTACATTGATTTTTCAAATCTTTAAATTCAAAGTTAGCTGGTAGACTATTCTTTAAGACCAGCATTTCTGCAGATAAATTAACTGTCGATATATTCAAAATAACCTGATGTATCAAAAATATGAACTAGAATATAAAATGTAAATAGTAATGAATCATATCGTTTGTATGATTGGTAATAATATTTGTCATTTCGCATACAATTCTGCGTAGCCCACTGGTTAAATATTACTAAAAACCAAGTAATAATCTAAGTTATAAATGGAACATAATTTCGTACCCAACCGTAAACCGTAGATAATATAAAGTAAGACAATATGATTTTCTACAATATTTTGATCGCTGTTTATAGTTTAATAGTTTGACAAAATACTGAAACAGTAAAACGTGCAATTATTCAATTATACTGTTTTAATCGTTTATTCGTTAACTATATATATATATTATTGTCTATAGTGGAAAAAAAATGTCCAACCCAATAAACCACAATAATTTACAATTTATTGATGAAATACTGAAATAAATATTCTAGGAAACTGGGGGTGCTAATTTTAAATGAGGGGGTGCTAAGCACCCCCCGAGCACCCCCCTATGTGCGCCTATGAATATATATAAATAAGTTATTCTAAGAAATGATAAGACGGCAGATTTATCTTCTAGTACTTTACATAGATTTTATAAAAATAAATATTTAATACTCAAAATAAGTTCCTGAGTTATCATTCAACTGTCTTAATCTAACCGTGTTAAAAACAGTTCTATTGAATAATTTATATTTAATATATTTTATATTTTTAATAAAGTTCATGCTAAAATAAATTACAATATTTGTTATTACCAAAATGAGTAAAAAAAAAGATACATTCAGTTAGTGAATAATCGAATAAAAATTGATCGAATAATACAAACGAGTTGAATAAAAATTGGTCCAATAAAATATTAGTGAAATGACCAATTGCACTACGTGGTAACTAAATTAGTCACACGGTACAACAAAGACGGTAGGAATTAGTCACTTCTGCCTCTTACTATTAATAACTAATATGTAATAAATGTCATAAATATAATAACATTATAAAATATATAGGTAATAACCCTATAACATAACTAAATATATTAATATTCATAGAATATTGTTGAATTTCTGTGTTGTGAATATTTGTACATATTAGGTATGTATTACAAACATTATTACTCGTGTTTCTAATTAAATTATAAACAGTGTTATGAATATTAAGTAGCTATACGGCTATGCTGTATCTATGGAGATACTAATATACAGTTCAAATTACAAACCAAGTTCCAAAAAAATAAATACTATTAATTATAATAATAAGTTCCCGGTTTCAAAATAAACAAAGATAATCGTAAGTTAAATGTGATATACAATAAATCCCTCGTCTCGATAAGATGAAAAGTACTTCATCTGTATTATCAATATTTATAATTATAGTAATTAGTGTGATAAAATGTATGTACTAGTATGCGTATAATATACAGTAACAAAAAATATAAAAAATAGTTTTAAACCGACATATTATATTTTAATATTAAAAATGATCTGAAATAATTAAGACTTAGTCTTTACCAGGGCTCGGGAGTTAAAACATTTGTTTATTTTTATGGATTGACTTAAAATGTAGCAAAGTGCTATAGAAGTGTATGTCAAGGTATAATACGTACAATTATGAAATTTGAAAGTGCCTTTTTTTTTTTTGCTTTTTTCAGCAATTTTTAAAAAAAATGCTTATTTCCAGCTTTTCTGATTATTTTTGATTATTTGATCAGTTTTTTTTACGTTTTTATAGTTTTCTCCTGCAAAGTCGTTTTTGATAGAGTTAAAATTAAAAATAATTTTTATATTATCTACGTTGTCACGTAGTTTGTCGCCGTTCAAGGCAATAGAGTTATAGAGTTAACAAAGATATTCCAACGCTTGAAATAGAACTGAGTGTCAAACGTCAGAATGATCAAGAACTTAGAGAACAGTTTACATTTTATTTTTCAGAAAAATCCCTTAGAAAATTCATAAAATCCTTAAAGTTTTGAAAGTGAAGATTTATTTTTATTTTGTTTGATTTTTTGATTTTTTAGTTAGAATTTTATAGTTTTTTTTTTTTTTTTTTTTTTTTTAATAAATATTTTTACTTAATTTAAAATTTTTTAAATGCTTATTTTAGTGCTTATAATTATGTTTTTAAGCGCTTATTTTAATGATTTTAAATGCTATAAGTCCCGAGCCCTGGTCTTTACTATACATACTATTATTTTAAGTAAAAGTGTAAAACAAAAATTATTTAAATAAAAAAAAAGAAGTTACCTAGTTAATTTTTTTAATTTAATTTAAAATAAACATATCACTAATTATATTATTATATCGTTTACTTATATTTATAAAAAAAAAAAAAATAATTTACTAATAATAATATTGCATTAATAATCTATAAATAACTAATTTATTTGGTAATTCATGGGCAATATGTGTGTGTACTTTAATTCCCTATTACAATCTAGGAGTGGGAATACATTTTTGCAGTCAGAAAAAATCATTAAAAAAAAAATCCCTGCTTCATTCTATTCTTAAATATTAATTCAGTTTAGTTAAAATTTGAATCTCAAGTTTTATAAAATTAGCAGATATCGTTTTTTAATTTATTTTCTTATTTAATTATGAATATTGAGTTATGAAAAAAAAATTAAAAACTATTGGCAATGATATTATAACTCACCTGTGTATAACCATAAATATATATCACTGAGCTCAATGAAATATGATAGAGCACGTCTTTATCAGCATGCTTTGTATGTTTGAATTTATACGTTTCTTGTTTTTTTTTATTCTTAATTAACATAAAAATATATAATTACACACGCAATCATTATTAGGTTATTAAGTTATTTAAGTAAATTTGTTTAATTACTGTGTACAGTTGTACCAGTTGTGCATGATCTTCATTTCCAATTGGAATTGCCTTTTGAATTCTATATTATTTATTGTTACTGATCTTTTTGTACAATTATATATCTAATACATTATGGCTATAGTAGCTAACGAGAAGACAGCGTGACAGATACTAAGTAAAAAATATGTTCCAGCACTCTGTATATCCAACAATAATATATTATATATAAACTGTAAAAGTAAAGAATTTATAGATAATTAATCGTATAATATATATTGAATGTACATGGATTTTAAGATACCTACATGTAAATTATTATTATGCAATCATCGATTAATGAATGCTAATACATTTATGTGTTTATACATTAAGGTTTTAATAATTCATGTACTGATGTAGAGTGTAATAACGTAATTATGTAAATATATCTACAATAACCAAGACAAACAACGAATGGTATATCGTATTTTTTAATACTAAAGCTAATTCACATTTGTAAATCGATAATTAACGTAATTAAAAGTCCATGTTAAGTTTACCAACATAACTTACACAACGTTTACCGATGTCTTGAAGAAAAACGCTTGTAAATATAGCTACAAGTGGGGACGGACGATAGTGAGGTACTTACGAGGAAAGTGGTTCGGGTTATCCCCTTAAATGTTATGTTTGTTAAACTTGAATAAAAATTGAACCATATATCAACAGTAGTGTCAATTATAACATTTGATATTGCAGTTTACTTCAGACGAGAAACTGATTTCAACATAATTTTAACCAAAATATCACTTAATCTAATATTTTGTTGGTATTAAGGACTTTTTATAAACTTGTATTAGATTTGTATTAATGATAATATTTAAAAAAAAAAAATAAATTCTTAAATTTTCCTGATGATTCTTCATGAGGTAATGAGAATATAAGATATGTTACGAACTACCGTTGTTAAGAGATAACCTTTCTAAGTATCTGAATTTTCACACCACGGAATATATAATAAATAACATTTTTAACTCAACGAATAAAATTCAGTCTATACTATTACGAATTTTTTCAATAATTACTAAACATTAAAATAAAATGATTTAACACTCATAAAATAGTAATAAAGAATTATTATTATATATAAATAAAATATAAATTTTGTAAGTTCTTTTCTTGAGTATTATTGTATAAAATCATATTATAACAGTAAATATGCGCAATTATTAACAACAGGTTACGTTTTAAAAACCTGGATAATATTTTATTATTATAATTACAATATAGAGAATTAATCCAATAATTGTCCAATTTGATTGCGTTATGAATTTAAAATGTACTATCCGAAACTTTAGAATAACTTAAGGACCTAAAGTGACAAATTTGATGATTAAGTTTTTAAAAAAGTATCAAATCGTCTTTTTCTTTGGATTAATTAATCCTTTATAAAATATTAACTAATTTTATTACCTAAACGCTTACACATCTATTCGTATACATGTAACAATAATAGGTAATAATAATAATAACAATAATAACTGATAATATCATTATTAACGTGCCGGCTTGTTACTGTCGTCGAGCTCAAGGTTTATGAATAATGTCATTGATTATAGAACAAATATTCTTTAAACAAAATATAAAATAATTAATTTCATTAGTATTTATTTTTTTAAAATTATTCTATAATCAATGATTATATCTCTAAGCCTTGGGTCGAGCGCGCCAATTCCATTACTGGCGGCCGGTAGGCGGACCTAGAGCAGTGCGGTAGTTACCTTTTCGCGACCGCGGTTGTAGTAGATGTTTCGTTTCATAACCTCATAGTACAACTACTGCGGGTAGTACAGTCAACAACAGTTGCAGCTGAACAGCTGGTTTTCCACTCGGAACAGGCGATCGTTTTGTTGTGTTTTATTTTTCCTCTTTTAATTATCAATTTTTTTGTCGCCGCTACTACTCATGCGCACGGGTCGGCCGAAGCGCTTTAATTTCGTATAGTACTTTTTTTTTCTTTTCGTTCACCAGCCCGTTTCGTTTTTTTCACGGTCGTCGCCATTCTCTACGACCGCGTTCGACCGACTACAGCGGTCCCGTCTGGTATCCGTCCCGTCGTCTTACGTCACCCTTGTGTCTGCTGCGCCTGTTTGCGGTGCGAGTGTGTGCGTGTGCGTGTGTGCGTGTTTTCGTGTTGGTGTGCGTGTACGCTGTGTGTACAAGGCGCGCGAGTGTGTGTCCGTGCCTACCGATTACTTATCGCTACGTAGCAGTTGAGCAGCAGTAGTAGCAGTAGTAGTAGTAGGAGCAGTGGAAGCAGCGAAACTCGCACTATCATTGACAGCCGCTGTCAAACGATTGTTTAGGGTACTCGTCAAACGGTCACCGTTTGCGTTTTCGCGCGAGCTAATCCACCACTACTGGTCAGCTCTCCGTACTGCCGATTGCATTAACGAAGTTATGATGTTGAAAGGCGAACAGTTGTTGGTCATCGATCCGCCGCACGAGCTCAAATTCAAAGGTTAGCGTTAACTATCACTACTACCATCGCTATGCGAGTGTACTGTATTTTGTCTGGTTTCCGGGGGACCAAGGAAGGGCTGGCCTTTTTTTTTTTTTGATGAACTTCGACCACCTCCAATTACCCGCGTGCCCGGATTATTCGCTTTTGAAATATGTCGGCATTTGCCTCTATTACCATTATTGGTAGAATTGTCGTGTTTCACACAACCCATAGTGTAACTGTTACATTCTGAAAGATCCCTTAGACTTTTGGAGTATTACCCTTCCTATCGGAGCATATGTTATTTTTAATACCGATTTATATTTGTCAAATAGTTGTACAGGTAGTCAGTTATATTTCAGTTGATGAAATATCTTCAAAAATGTGTTTTGATGATTCTATTATGTTTCATTTTTTAACTGCCATAAGTAATGAAATTATTTGCTATTGTGAAATGTTCATATAGGTGTATAGGTAATGTCTTCACACACAGCATTCACATATTAAATATAATTTTATTCTTTACTATTTTGAAGTTCCAATTTTTGTATTAGTTATTGTTGTAAGGTCAATAAACAATTTAGCTTATCCTACTTTGTGTACATTTTTTTTTTAGTAATCAATTATTTCATTATTCATATATGTATGTTACTAAAATGCCTTAAATTACATAATAATTTAAATGGTGTTTTACTAAATATTTTATATATTTTCTAATATAATGTTAATTTTATTAATTAATAATTTTTATAAATATTTTAAATGTTGGTTTTCCTTAACTTAGACTGTAGATCATAATAAATTTGAGATACAAACTAATAATACTATATAAATATGTACATTTATTGAAGTTAAACTTTTAAGGTTTATTGAGTAGTATGTTTGGTATTTTTATTATTAAGTCTTAGGCTATATTTAAGAGTAAAATAAGGGCTTTAAAATTAAAAAAATACCATGCTCATTATTAAAGATTGTTTTTTTCTTTTTAATTTGATAATAGATAAATTGTTTTATATTTTTTTTTTCCGAAGTTGTGTTGAGAAATTTTAAAAGATTAACCAGATTAAATGTTAATAAAAATAGTTTTTAAATTACACTTTATTTTAAAATAATATGAAAATATACATGAAAGTATAATTTGAAATTTTTTAGTTACCTGTACGATTTATTAGAATATTAATGAACAATTAATTATACTTACAATAAAATATTCACCATAACAAGAATTTTTTATTGTTGAAACCATATTTTATTTTATAAAAAAATGCTATTCTTACATGTGTAATTGCATATTCTCTAGTTAGTATTTAAATATCATACTTGTCTACCAAGTATAACCTCGGTAAAAGCTACATAATTACCTATTACAATTTTCTGTATGTTCTAGGTCCATTTACTGAACCAGTTCATACTGTAATGACACTAAAAAATCCAATTGATAGAAAAGTAGCTTTTAAAATAAAAACTACTGCACCTAAACGTTATTGTGTCAGACCAAATAGTGGTGAACTTGTTCCCAAAGAGAAAGCTGAAATTTCAGGTAGATATCTTAAATAAGATTTTATTAATTTGCATCAAAATTTTAAGTTGACAAATATTTTATGAATTTTTTATATTTTGTTTGCTTAATTTGGATTAGAATATTACTAAACTTATTTTCCATTTTCTAATATTTTAATGAACCTTAAAATGATTGTTTCCTCGAAAATAATTGTACTAACTAGTGTTTTGTTGGTGTGCGTTATGAATTCAGTAATATTGCAACCATTCGACTATGATGCCAATGAAAGAAATAAACACAAATTTTTAGTACAGACAGTTGTCATTGATCCTGTTGCTGATTATGGAGAAGATGGCAAAACTTTTCAGGTTAATTAAATGTCATAATTATTTATTTTTAACTATTGTATGAATTTATATTATAAATTAGATGTTATTGGTTGTATTTAATTTTTATATTTGAAAATATTTTATGTTTCTTTTAAATTTTAGTTATATGTTTATAATTAAAAGTTAAATTTATAAATTATTTTATTTTATTTTAGTGGAGAGATATTGACGAAAGTAGAATAATGGATTCTAAATTGAAATGTTCATTTGAAATGCCTTCAGTCGAACAGTTATTAGAATCTAAAAATATTCATGAAGATAGTGTAAGTATTTGGTTCAGTATTATTTGGTTCTAAAATTAACTTTTCAAATATTACATATTTTTGTATTTGAACAGACTGCTGTATTTGAAGCAAATCCTGAAACGGAATTACAAAAAGCAGCCACCGAAGTAAAAGAATTACGAGAAGAAGAAATCGCTCTAAGACAAGAAAATATTAAATTGAAAGTGAGTTATTTTTAATTTTATTTAATTTTAAATGATAACGTTTTTTAATATTTAATTTAATTAAAAAATTATAGGAAGAACTATTACAGTTGCAAAATGAGTATAATAACCAGCAATATCAAAAACGTTCTGTTGGTGGTAGTCAGCATTTGGATATGCAAAACAGAAATGCCAATATAACCTTAATGGTTGGTCTGGCGATAGTTGTTGCCTTGTTGGGTATTATAGCTGGAAAATATATATTTTAGTTACATAATTTAATTTTACATTGGAAAAAAAAAAACATTTAAATTTTGATAATAAATACATAATATTAATTTATAAAGCAAAAAGCAAAATATTGTATTTTCAATTTTGAACGCAAATTATTTGTGCATAGTCCTATCTGTTTAGTTCTTTAAAAAAATAATATATATATATATATATATATATATTAAATTAAGTTGCCATCTATGATTAATATTATCCTATTCATATTTATGCGCATATTAATTTGGGAATACATAAATAAAAACCTTTCTTTATGCACAGATAAATTAGCTTAAAAGCCCGTTTATGGTTCAGGTGATTAGTTGAAGGTTATTTGATTATTATTTTTTCTTCTTAAAGTTATTATCTTTAATTATTTTTATGCATTTTTGAATCTGGTAAACATCTGTCAATAACTTATTATATTAGATCATAATTAAAATCTCTTTCTATCTTTTCTAATGACTAATATTATATACCAACCAAATGTATTATCTTTTTTTTCTAAAACTGTGTTTTATCTGTCAGTTTCAACTGAATGTATTTAATTTTTAATAATATATTATAATCCTATATGTATTAACATAAAATTCTTATTCATTGGTTTTTTCTTTTACTCTTATTATTTAAATTATTGCTATAAAAATATATACATATTAAGTACTATGTTAATGGACCAAGTGAAGGTGAAATAAAATATTTGACATCTTATTGAAGAAATGCATAGTAATGTTTAGTTGTATTAAATCATTTTGTTTTAAAGTATATATACATATTGTAGTAGTTGTATATAGTTTTTAAAACATGTTAATACCAACAACTGAAAAAAAAAATGTATTTAATAACAAAATATAATTTTTAAATAATTGAATCAATGTACATATAAAAAAAAAAAAAAAAAATCTTTATTACAATTTTTAGTGAAAGTATAATTAATATTATAAATATTATTATAAATTAAATATTTGTGTAACTAATGTGTCAAAATGGAAGTTATATCTCATTTATATCATCATATTCATATTTTTAAAATAATAAAAACTAGAGATTATTTCACCACCAAAAATGTTTGTTTTTCAAAAGCACTTGGTATTGTATTGATTTGTCATTTTAAAATAATCATTGTAATTTCTTGGATAATTTTCAAAATATTGTTGAAGAATATAATGTATTTTATTTTTATTATCTATTATACAACATTGAATTCTTATTTTATTTTCAACTAGTATGGTTTTGCTTATATTACTGGGGCATATTTTAAATCCCCCAAAAGTAAGTTCTAAAATATCATTTGTATTTTAGTAAATTTAATTATTTTAAATTATTATGAAAATCCATTTTACATTATTCAAGAATAAAAATAAAAATTATGGTCTTAGTGATAGTTAAATCAAGTGGTTTTAAACGATAATTTATAGTTCCTTATTTTTTTTTTTTATCCATATATTGGTGTACATCATTTTTTATTTACAAATAAAAATGTCATAATTTTGAGTTCTTTAAAGCTAAATAAATCTTTTCAAGGATTTATTTTTAATTTAAAATACCTTTGATAATATGTAGGCAAAATTCAATATTTTTAATAAAAAAAAAAAAAAATTGACTTATTACAATGAGTCAATTAAATTATAGTATTACAATTTACAATATGAAATAAAATAAAAAATTTTATATTTGAGTATTAAGTTAAATTTTTCTATTTAGACTGTTATTTTTCAGTTAGAAAAGGCCTTGTGCTGGTGCTATTTTTTTTTGTAAAAACTGATGATAAAGTTGTTGAGTCTTCTAAAATGAAAAATAAAAAATAAAATTTTCTTATGAAAAACTACAAGTTAAACTTTTATTTAAAGATTATATTTCCTAATATTGTATGTATATTGTGTTTAAAAATTATTTTCATGTTTATACCTTTATGTATGATGTAGTACTTAAAGTATATTTATATGCACAATAATTAGTTAAAGGCAGCTTCGTTATGTATTCTTTTTTAAAAATATAATTTTAATTATATAAACATACAATTGCATGAGATAATAATTATTATGAATACAAATGAATTATCATTATACTCATAGGAATAAGTTACCCATATTTTTGTCCTTAATGAATAAATTATTTTATTTGAAAAATTACTATTTTACTATTTTTTTTACATAATAATTAAAATATTAGGATGTATAATGTATTATACTGTTATCATAAAACAATGATACAAAATTATATAAATTATAAACATAGATATGAAGATAAAAAAACAATTAGCAACAAAACTTTTAAATAAGTATCTTAAAAAATAAAATTTAGAAGTTTTAGAGGTTGCAGAATAAATTATTTTTAACAAGGGTTAAAAGAGCGGAATATACATAACACAAAGATTCCACTCATTCATTACTATCGCACATTATATTCAGTGGTGTATAATTTTTTTCTGGAGAGGGGGGGTGTTTAAGAGTCAATTTATAATATTAGTATATTTTAATACGAGGCCCTATATAATAATATTTCATTTAAAATATTATTATGTCCCTTATTTAATGAAAATTATTTTGTTACTCAATTTTTAATATACACCTAATCATAGTAAAATGAAAATATCACTTTACTATTATATGTAAATATTAATAAATAATAATTAAAGATCATTAAAAAACAATCTGGTGGGGTGGACCCCCCCTTAACTACTCCACTTATTATATTACATTAAACCTTAAATAGGATTTGTGAAATTATAATATATTATTAACATTTCGCAATTATAATACCTATTAAAACTTTAGTAGTTAAATCAAAACTATTGATGAACTATGAAATCATGATTACAAAATTTGATTAATTTAATTTGTTAATATTTGAAATTTTTTAATCATTGATAGTGCCATAATTAATGTTAACCGTGTTCTAATTGCTTTGATGTAAGAATGCTTTGATTTTCAGCTACTTTATGTTTTTTTATAATTTCTTATTCTCTAATAGTAGTCAAGACTAATGCTAATTAAAATAGCTACTCGTTTATTTAAGAAAACCCTGGATTAACCTTAAACAAAAATAAAAATATACATACAATTACAGGTGGTTAATTCATGTAAGTGAAATTATTTAAAGTTTTATCATTATTTTTTTGCAATGTTTATTTATAAGAAAAATTGTATTGAATGTATTGAAATTCGTATACTTTGAATTTGGGCAAGTACAATTAAAATAATGCGATCAGTGACTTTTTTTTTAATTTTTAATTTGTAGTGAATTAGATTTGAAAATTAAACAGTGTCGTAGATTCTGGCCTTTTAAAAACAGGTTACCTAAATATTAAATTACGAAAAATAGTTTTCTGTGGTTTATTGTGATTGGCTTCCGGTTGGTAATGTATGAAATAAAATTAAAAAATGAAATTATAAACCAATGGTCGAGGCGCGAGTGAAGAACTTTCAGCTGTACACGTAGTATTTTGTTTATTTTTAAACCGACAACGTGTATAGACGTTTGGTGTGCCAGCCCTTATAAAATAATTATTTATAGTTCTTTCTCCGGCAGGTTTTCTACTGTATTACATCAAACTCGCAGCAGTCCCGCGAGTATTATTATAAAGTAAAAAAAAAAATTATATTAATATCGTAAACGTATATCCGCTGTGTTATATTTTTAAACGCGGGAATAATATTAATTTTATCGTTTCTGGTAATATCTAGGGAGGCTTACCCCATTATATTTTTAAAGGGGGCAGTTGTTTACTTCCGTTACGAGTTTCAATACCGTAACAACCAAGTATTGCATCCCGGACGAAACTAAAAATCTCCTTGTGTATTTTTAATTAAAAATAATCGTAATTTTTAGAGATATTAATTTAAAAAATTGCTTAAATTAATACATATAAAAGATGTTGAAGTTTTTGTTTACAAAATGTAGAACATTGACCGTTACAATTTTTAACATGAAATGTAAATTTTTTATCTTTGCGCCCGGGGCGTAGGCTCCTCTCGCCACATTTGCTACAGCCCTGAATGGGCTTCACGATTGTTTTTAAATTTAACGGTCGGCGGACTATTAGCCGACTGCTTCAGATGTCGATTCATTAGACGGCCTATGGATTTGATTTGACAGGGGAAGTATGTAAGGCGATGTTACGTGTCGAAACGTACCGACTTGAAACAATTGTCGAAAGCAATCGGCCGACGTTGGCTGGTCCGCGTAGTCGCCGTCAATCAGACTGCTTAGTTGATCCGGTGTGCGCGCTAGCGGCTCAATCCGACCAAACTATCGGCAGTGGCGGTGCCAGGATATTATTTTAAGGAGGGCAAACAATTAGGTATAAAGTAGGGCCAAAGAAAATTAAATTTCAGCAGAAAAAAAATACATAATAATAATTAATATGAGCTAATTTTACTTATTCTAAAATTTTTCATGATACAACCCTATGACAAGACTTCTTAAAAATAATTCTGCTTATGATAAATTATTATATTATGTACATTGGATATATGGCTCTATCTAGTTCGTCCCTAACGTCACCACTGACTATCGGGCGATAAAAAGTCTGTAGTTTGTGGGTTTCCCCCTAGTGTTTGTACAACACGTGCATATGTGTGGGTACATTGTGTGATTACTGCACACGGTAGACACCTGTTAATTGAACTATTTTTTCCACTTTGGTGGACACACATTTGACAGGCAGTGCCCGTGGAAGGGTAGGTTTTAAGGGCTCCACACCTTCCATGAGGTTTAATAATTTGTAAGTCTATATTTTTGTTTTTAAAATCAAATAACAAGTGCCCTCTGTCGTGTGAAAACGTGTATGGTATTTTAATATTTAACTTCAATACTATGTTTTATAGGTATTATAGTATAAATAGTGTAATAATAAATTAATAAACAATAACATATTGTTGATGCTTTGATATGTTTATATTTTATATAACTTCAAACTCTTTTTGGGGTTTTGAGTTACACATTTGTAATAGACATAATTTCATTTCTATATTCACTTCAGATCAACACATTTTAAAATTTTATATAAATATAAAATTAAAATCTTTGATAAAGATCATAACAACAACTCCATTATACAAGTGTTTGAAATATTTAAAGTTATATACATTTTTAGATAACCAAATGGCTAACAGTTAAAAAGTAATAGACTTGTTAGAATTTTCACATAAATATAGTAAGTTATTAATTGTCAAACTCAATATATTTTTATTCATAGGAATTTACCTAGTAAATATATTAAACTGCATTTATGTATTTAATAATGGTCAGAAATATATTGTAAAAAAATATTGAAAACATAGACATTTTGTACAAACTAATGACTAAATAAATATTTAATATATCAGGTAAAAAAAAAAAAAAAAAAACATGCTAAACTATAAAATTAAAATGTCCAATAAAGAAAATATTGTTTTAATTATTTAAGTAGGTATGTGAGAAAATGATTAGGTCTTTACGGGTCAACAAATGATATCATAATGTATCTTGTGCCATTGGTAACTTCAAGTCCCTCATGGTAATGTGTCAGTCTGCCTGGGTGCATTAGCATCCAACCCACTTTCATTTCTGTAACTTTACATTTATATCTCAAAAAGTGGCATCCACCTCCCTGTGAGAAAAAATACAATTGATTAGTTATTAATGTAAATGTTTTAGATAATATGTTCGTGGTATTAAAACATTACCTGGTAATCTTTTCCAGGAGAGTTTAAGGCTATGTTGATAGTGTAAGTAGAAGAATCATGGTGAGGCCTCAACGAAGCCTGACCGAATGGGTTGTATTTTACAACAAAGTTCATCAAAGAACGAGGAGGCTATAAAATGAATATAAAAGAATATGGAAAATTAATGAATATTTCTTTTGATTATAAATATATTACATTAATATGTTAATGTTAATGTTTTATTTTTATTTTTTATAGTGATTTAAATTAAATATTAGCACTTAACATACTATAAATAATTATTACATAGCAAAAAAACAAAGATTAAATAATAATTTTTAATTAAATAATAATAAGGGTTATATAGCATAATATAATGTATACAAAAAATAACACATAAATCAAAATTTCATAAAGCTCAAAAAATCATTCATACTTCATTTATTCTACTGTAATAATTTATTATTTGAATTTATATTTTTAATTGTATTCTTATTAATAGATATTACAGATTTTGAAAGAAACAAATGAAACCATGGGATGGCTACACATTTTATTTAAAACTAAGCTGATACCAAACGAGATAAAAGGATAAAACTTATTTTATTGTGCATATTCTTATTTATCTGAGTGTATTTTATCATTTTTTCAGATTTTGTAATAAGTTGATATGCTTGAAAATTATTATTGTATTAGTTGAAGCAAGCTCAAGTTCAATAAAACATTCAAATTAATAAAATGATATTAATATAAAATAGTTAAAAGTAAAAAGCAGCTTACGCCATCTGAGTAATAGCCAAGATACACATGCTCCTGTAATCGCGAAACAAATAATTCTAAAAACTTTAGCCACACTTTGTGTAAGCCCACTTGTTTCATATGAATATCTCTGGTTGGCACGGCTTCATATCCAGTATCCAATCTGGGGTCCTACGGTTTTAGGTTATCATGCGCTACTGTTAATATATTATTCTTACATGTCACAAAAATATATACACATGATATAAGTTAATTATTTAAAGGCAAGCAGAGAACACACACATGCTGTAATATTGTTTTGATATTGTTTGATTTTCATTCCCACATACGTCATGATTATAACCGATAAAGATATTCTTTTGTAAAGGCTGAACATAAGAGTGAAGAAACTCAAGCCAATGCTTCTCAAGTCCAACTTGATTCATGTGTATGTCTCTGGTAGGAACAGCTTCATAACCAGTTCGAAGGCGCGTGTCCTTCAATTTATTTCATTTGCCTGTCAGATTTCATTATTTCAATAATATTGTTTGCTGATAAGTTACTTACATTATTTGTTCCATCGGACCATTGTCCGAAATTTTCCATAATTTCAATGAATTCTTGACAAAACCGTTCAGTTACAATTGGGAACCAAAATACATCAGGACAAGGCTATTGAAATAAAATAATAACAAACTTTAGAGAATAACTCATGAAAACATTTAGTTTTAACCCAATTAAATAGTAACCTCAGCTGGTTTTTTTTCAGGATTGAAATTCTCAATGTAATCTGGATGGATGTAACGTAGTTCCCAATCATATCTGTTTTCAAGTAATTGATATACTTCAGGATTCTTAAGAGTAGTATCAAAAGTTTCCGAATCAATCAAATGACCAAAATTATATTGATTGTCAATATACATAAACACTTGCTAAAATAATTAGATACATATTAATTGAAATGGTATACATTTTATATAAATATGCCAAAATACCTTTTCTCTTAATGATTTGCTAAATGCCATATCATAATCCAGATTATCTTCTTTATACGATGGTCTAGTATTTTTATTCTCTAAAATTGAACCTTTCATTAGGTAACAACTACCTATATAAGGTACATTCCAGATACCTCTATAATATTAACAAATATAAATTAATAAAATTCTTTGTTCTGATTTTATTTTTTTCAACAAAATTGGTATTATAAAATGCAACAGGGGAATTTAATAGAATTAGCAATTTAAATTTTAAGAGGAAGTTCCCTTTAATTGATTGTAAACCAGGATAGGGTCAGAATTGCATCCAGTAAGGCAATATGATGTGCACGTAGTTAGTTTTCTATTGTATTTAGCATAGTAAAGTTGTGCAAAAAATACACTCCATACAAAAGAGACATCCAGTCTCATTGAATTTGGATACATATCAAAATCAAAAGAAAAAATGACTAAAGTAATAATATTTTTTATTATTTTTTACTTTTATTGACTCAATATTTATCTTATAATAATTATATTATGAATGAGACTATTTGATGATTTTAGGTTGAATGTACGATGGGGCTAAAGAATATAGTAATAGGGGTGTTTGTAATAACATTGCTTTTTACAATTATTAGTGATGTCCATGGTAAACGTGGTAGAGGGAGAAGTAGATCAAAAAGCAGAGTGCAAATCGGATTGCCAATAACAGGCAAATACAGAGATCCAGAATCTGATCAATACTACAACCATAATGATGTAACTCTTCAATGTTAATAAATAAAAAATTAAATAAAATGAATGGTTTTTTTTTATTAGGAATAACTCAAGTATAAACAATTTGTATTATTTTAGGGAGCTAAAATACTGATGGCATCACATTTTGATTATGAATATGTACTTGGACATAAAATAGTGTTTGTTTGCGTAGCCAGAGGAAACCCAAGACCTCAGATCACTTGGTTTAAAGATGGAACTGAATTGTATTACCATTATAATCACCATGTAAGTTAAAAAATTTAAAACTATATTTCTAAATATATATATTAATGGTATATATTGTAACTAATTTTTGAGATATTATAAAATATAATGCATGAAGTGCATACTAAAAGTATTAGGAATAATTGAATACTTCAGACTTTAAGAATAGCTTAAGTTTTGTAACAAATAGAAATGCAAATGTTAAGGAGTACTCATCATCTATCATAGAACTATAACTTGTTCGTTTTATTTAAGGTTCATGAATGGAATATTGGTCATGATAGCATTAAATCTAAGCTGGAAATTGATCCAGGAACACAAATGGATGCAGGTGTTTATGAGTGTTCAGCTGACAACAAATACAGTATAGATAGAAGAAGTTTCAAGACAGACTTCAGCATAGCATTTGAATCATAAATAAAAAAAAATTTAAAAATAAAAATACAACTTATTGATTAATACTTACGTTTTATTATAATTAACGATATCCATGTAGTCAAATGATCGAGCGTAGAATCCGTCTTTAGATAAGGCACCCCAAAAATTAGACCATGCTTTAAATGGTCGTGTAAGCATTGGGGCAATAATTTTCCTAAATAAAATATTATTCATCATTCAATTTATAACACATTAGTCATTAAAATACTTACTTATTGTTTTCAATTAGTATTTTCAAAGTTTGTGGATTATCTAAATGTACTTCATTCTCTATATAAAATAAATAGTCACAAGATTTGCTAGTACACAAGGAGCTGTAAAATCAAATAATTAATAATATTGTAAAATATATATCAATATTAAATAAAACACTTGCAATACAAAATGCCGGGCATGTATGTTTTCCTTAGGAGTTTTATGAAATACAAATGATGCATTGTATTGATTACCTACTTCAGTTATAAATTTATCCACTTTTTCTTTATGATATTCCACCTAAGAATTAAAAATCAACAGATAAAATTTTTGAGTAATAAAAATTAAAATATTATTTATTATAACTTAATAATATGAAATATTTACCAGTGTAGTAAAAGACAATAATAATCTACTCTTTGGATAGTCAATATTTTTAATTTTTTCTAAAAACTCATCAAAGAATGGAGTTGCTCTATCAATAAATATTGATAATAGTACAATTGGATAATTTTCATTCTAAAACATAAACATTGACAAATTAAAAATTTTACTTAATTCGTATAAACAATTAATAGATAAAAGAACCTTGAGCATTGAAAGATCAATAGTGTTGTCTTTGCATTTACTACATCCACTTTCAGGAGACCACTGGTTTGGTATATAATTTGTATAACTATTTAATGATAGTTTAGATATTCCATTTCCATGAAGTATAGCTGGATGAGAATTAAAATGGGTATTTTCTAATACATATGATTTATTTATTAGTCTCATTTTTACATCGTCTGGAAACACAAATAAAAATGTTTGGAGTTTAAGAATACTTTTTTTAATCAAAACACGTATTATACTTATTATATTTTAAAATTCAATAACCTTTTTTTCAACTTTAAAGAATAACAAAATAAAAATTAAAAAACACAAACATAATATAGTTTAAAAGTGTTGTGTCTACTGGTGGTTTTACTTACCAGACATGATTACCATCCTAAGTAAAGAAACTGTGACCATCAAATAACTATAAATACTCTACACCTCTAAAAACTTTTATAAGTCGACAAGAGTTTGGGGTATAAAAGCTTCAATTTTCGATAACCTGTATAAAAACTTTTCTATACTTATAGAACCAAATTCAGTGTTTAGAAAGAATGTCGTTCTTGAACGCACATTCATATTTTGTGAATAACACAAAAATGTCATCCTTTTTTTTCTAAATAGAATGTGAATAATGTTTATATTTTTAATGAGTTAGAACAATTTTTAGGGCGTTAAAATTTATTTACCATTTTAAAAATACAGTAGAACTCCAACTATTTGAATGTCAATCAACTGGATGTCCAATTAACCGAACAGAAAAAAAATGTTTGGTCTTTTAATAACTCATAATTCGGATTGCTGCTTCATGCTAGTCGAAGCATGGAAATGTGTACAAGGTGAAAATGGATTATTATATATTTATATATATTATATATTATTATTCTGAAACTTTTGATGCAATTAGATTTGGCTTTTAAAGGTTTGAGAGGCAAGAAAAATTTAACATTATTTAATAGTTGTAGTTGAGGAGATTGGGAGACATAACTGTTCTAAGGAGAAAGCCAACTATGAAGCAAACAAAAATATCATAATTTTTCAAAATAAAATAAAGAATGTGCCAAATCATCTTTTTTTTTTTTTTTTTTTTTAAATATATTATTGTATTTATAGCTTATTCTTTTTCAATTAAATATTATAATAAAATATTTATTTATTGTTACAAATTTCAAATAATATTACACATAAATAATAAATACATCCATACAATATATTCATACAATCGTATAACTTTTAATGTCATATATCAATCAAATAGATATTTCTTTGTCTGGATTATATTTGAGATTAATTAGTCCGGATAATCAGAGTTCTACTGTAATAGAACATGAACGTTTTCACTTTAAACAAAATAAACATGAAAATGAAAGAGTTCCTTTTTTATGTATTAAACATGAATGTGAACTTAAAAACTGTAATATAATTTATAATCAACTATTATTGAACATGAAAAGTATATATGAAACCAATTATTCATAATCTTAAATTAAAACTTAATTATAACTGACCTTCAGACAAATATAGATTTTGAAACAAGCTTGCATAATTATCCAACTTGATATTAAGCTTTTTTCGGACATCAGTATTTAGGAACAAATTTGTCAAATGCAATTGATCATCATCAAGATCTTTTATTGGCTTTTCTGAAAGCAACTTATACAATTGGCTAGCATATCCAATGACACCTGTTAAAATCATTTTTACAGTTAATTATACATTATAATAAATGTCTGTTGTATTAATTGTTTAGCAACCTAATAAACTAACCTCCTGAATTTAAAAATCTATAGCCATCTAATTCAACAGTAGGATAATGATCAGCTAATTTTTTGTCAGGCCAACAGCTTCTTTCAGTTGAAATCACTATTTGAGCATCAAATGCAGTGAATTTTTTTAAAATTGTACTGCTATTAGCTAATAATACTACATCATATCTGAAAATGTAATCCAATAATTAATAAATTAGAAAATAAATTATATTACCATTAATGTTTTATTACGCATCAGTGAGTAATACTGCTAAATTATCATTATTTTTGTAAGGTTCTAGTGCATTAAGGTACAAATTCAATTTGTAACCACCACCAACGCTTTTCATATTTCCTCCTTTCCATGGTTTGTCTAAGCCAAGTACCTAAAAAAAAAACATATAAATTAAATACCTACTGAGAATAATTTCAAAATAGCTTATGAATATTTACTTTAGTTTTAAGGCCATTTAAGTTAGCAGACTCGATGAATCTTTTATAACCATCAGTTTTTTCAGAAGCAACTGTGAGCACGAGCAAGTCTAAAAATTAAAAAAACAATTCATTTTCAACTTCAGCATTTTATAGGGGTTAAGTTATAAGAATTTCATATAATTAATAATTACTAGTTATGACAAGATTCATACAATAAATTAGTACTTACAAAATTCAAATACAAATCAATATTATAATTAAGTTATTAATAAGTTAACACAATACACATATATATTAACCTAACCTTTGTCAAATTCAGTATTATTAAATTAAAACCATGAATGTACCTAATTAAAATTAAATAATTAGATTATTATATACTAGTCTCAGCTCCGGAATAGTTTAACATAAACCATTTAAAATATTCAAATATTTAATTCTATTTTTTAAGAATTTGGTATAATTTTCAAGATAGGCCCAGAAACATATTGAAGTATGCTAAGTATCCTTAGTTACACTGATAGATCTTAATTAATACTATACCAGTATTAAAGAATTAATTGTACATTTTGACAGCATTATTACTTGCTTTTTAATTTATTGTTTTATTGTTTATGAAAAAAAAAAAGTTATTTTGATGTCATATAAAATAGATATTATACATTAAAATTCATATTATATTATAATTAAGCATAAAAGAAAATAATTAGATACAAAAGAATATTTTTGATGGATACTGCAGAGAAAAAATAAATGTTCCTACATATTATAAATAATATAAGGTACTTATATGAAAGCAATATTTAAGATCCAGCATTTTTGAAGAGCTATTTACTTGAATTTCAACTTTTTTTAGATTCATAAGTAATAATTTTGCAAATAATATTAGTATACCACAGTAAGTATGTACTAATTGAATCATCAGATATTATTTATTTAATTACATAACAGGTACAATCCATAGTACAAAATATGTGTCCAATCTATTTTGTACTATGCATTGTGTAAGCCAGTGGTTTTCAATTTGGAAACTGTAACGCAATATTTAAAAAAAGAAAAGGTTTTCATATATTATTTTTGGATAAAATATTTGCCGTAAGGAGTACAGTGAACTAAGTTTAAAAAAATTTGAATACCATTAGCATAAACAGTATACACAGAAGCTAAGAATTATGTAATTGATAGACAATAGTTATTAAATATTTCATTAATATTAATAATTTTATTAATATTTTATAACCATATAGTATAGTTTATATAAAATTAAATATTATGATTAGATAAGAAATTTATAAGTAAAATTATCAAAAAAATTATACTAATACAAGTAATGAAAGATAGAAAATAACACTTCCGAAAGACTCTAGAAAAAGTAATGATAAAATGTTAACAGGAAACATAGAAAAATTATTAAAAATAGAGATAACCAAAAATAATTAATAAATATATTTTAATTAAATGGCCTTATAACAATAATATTAAATGTTTGGTGCATTGTATTATGTAAATTAGATAACTTTTTTCACTTCTAAGAAATATAAATAAATAGATTAAATTATCGATTAAGATAAGTTTAATCTCAGGTTAAATATATTTGATATATGCATAAAATGTTAATTAACACATGTACCATGTTGATATTTTCAATAATTTTATACAAGGTTAGATACAAAGCCTAAATTATAAAATAAAGAATGTTTTTAAGATTTTTAGCAAATTAATAGGTCAATCTAATTTTTTACTTTGAAGGTTTTAGTAAATTTTCCAACCACTCTCTTATTAATTATTCATATTAATCATAATGATGACATTTTATAATTCAAGAATTTTTTAAAGAAGAATGTTTTCAATTAAAAAAATTAATTTTTAATGAATACTTATGGAGAATAGAAATATCACCATTAAAAAGAGTAAAATACATTTATTATTCTAATAGGAAATAACATTTTAGAATTAAGTTTTATTATACTTTAATATAGGTTGTATACATGAGTAATTTAAATGCAAATTATAGTGAACTATGTTTTTTTAAAATTTTATTAGAACCCAAGTCAAAAATTGAACAGAATGTTTTGACAAGATAGACAATCAACAATAATAGAATATTATTAAAAGCAAATTATTGTTTGACTGGTAATGTAAACCAGAATTATTATGTTCATAAGATAAAGCAATATTTGGTAGGCAGATGGGCACAGCCATACAAGTAGCAGTCATTATTCATTAACTATATTCTCTGTTTAATTAATGCAATAAAATTGTAAACATACTTATTATCATTACAATGTTACTACTTATGATCAATATGTGTTTTATTGAAAAATCATACAAGTGTAGCCATAGAAGATTTGTATTAAGTATTTAAACATGATTTTAAGCCGAAATAAAGTAAAAAATAGGTTATTAGTTTAGTATAATTATATGAAGTAGTGAATTTTTATACTACTGTAGTATATGGATCAATGCAGAAAATTCTGCAAAGCAATAGAATTCTTTCATGATAAATTTACTTATTTATAAATTCTATTTATTTTATAGTTTATTCATTCAAACCATTGTAAGCATGTGCATTTATACTGTACATGTCTCAATCAACTCATAGACTTATTAACTAAGTTTATAGTTTATATAGGTTTATAATCAATTTATATGTCTATGGAACAACCAATAATAGCAATGCAGCTCTTTGCCTCAATGGCATAAGTATAATGGATTTATAATTTAACAACTGATTGCCTATATATTATATATATGATTAACATTTACTATACATTGTCGTAAATATTTAATCAAAAATTTACATAATTCTTGCACATTGTTTTATATACTTCTTTGTTCTTATTGTTTCACAGTAAATATATTATCTCTATTTTGGTTAATATCTTGAGGGAGCGAAATGTGTGTTATACACCGATTTTTAATAAAAAATTCTTTTAAATCTAAATCCTGGCAATTGATGCGTAAGCATATTGCTATTTAATCTCAAGTCCAAGGATGAAATGAGTACATAGTACGCGTGTTCTATAAACGTTCTCAGTGACATAATAATGTAGTATTTTTTCACGCCGAACACGTGCGTTAAGATCATAGACAAGTTAGTGGTAAATATCTACATCGACTCTAGCGTCACTAACCGCGACCAACGGAGAGTTTATTTTTCTATTAGTTTTATCTATAACCAGAGCGACAGTCCACTGAAGTATAACGGTGCAGATAATAATTCGATAATTAATAATTGAAACAGCACTTACTGAGATCGTTTTTGACGCTCACGTCCTTCTCGGCGCACGACGATGCTACCAAAAGCGCGCAGAAGACACCGACGGCGCATCGGAAAACGGTCAAGGTTCTCGTCACCATTTTCATGCAAAATTTACAAAACACGACTGTATTCAATCAACAGTCGGAATGCATGTTTGTTAAACGATTTGCATCGGACTCGGAACACTTGAATTGACGTTAATTGAATGAACGACACGGGCGAATAACGGAAAGCATTGAACGGACAACTAACGAGTGTCGAGAAGTCACGAGACGACTGAACATCATTCATTAGTAAGTGATCTTCTGACGGTGGAGCATGCGCGACGTGTGTAAACAACAGAGTCCCTGCGCCATCTACCGGCGTGTGCGACAAATCTTAGGTTAAACGAGGACTTCTCTACAACGGACACGATATTTCCGAATTCCAACCGATCATTGGTTCATAGTCGTCCAAAATCGGTAAAATCACGTAAGCTCGTGTAGTTTTACGAGTTCCTTAAAGCAGTGGCGTATACCTCCCCCCTCTCACGATAATTTTCAGGACTTAAATTTTTAAATTTCGATCAATATGAAGTTTGTTAATTTTGCAAATTCGAATAAAGAAAACATTTTCAAATTTATAAACTGTATTCATTTTACAAAACTCGAATACGATAATATTGGTGTTTTTGACTGTGCAAGTCACATGCACTTCACAGGCTAATGTCTATTGCTGTAGCCTGTAGTTCACTGAAAATTATTGTCTACTAATTATGGAAATAGTTGGATGAAGATTGTATTTTGTTTCAGAAAAGACTTAATGATCAAGCCATGTTATCGATTCATCCAGATTTAAATATTACTATCGATGAAGTTATTGAGACATTGGCAAATAAAGGAAGGAAGCTAGAGTTTATCATATAGTTCATAATTAATGAAATTCCGTTTTTAAATAAGATAATAAAACAGATACAAATTTAATTTTGACCATTTAATACTGATTTATAAAAAAAAAATTATGATGACATCCCCCCAAAAAAAAAATTGTTTGTAAATACGCCACGGCCTTGAACAGTGTATCATGAATTAGTGAACATCCTGCGAAGCGAGGTATTAGGGTCAATAGAAATCACTAACCCAACCGAAACTGTAGGTGTCGAGGTATAGTGACGTATATATAGATATAGTGTGACACATATTAGACTAGTGGTCTTCAACCTTTTTCGACCTGCGACCCACTTTTCTTACCAAACATTTTTCGCGACCCATGTAAATTTCGTTCGCCGTTAAAACCAAATAAAAAAGTTAAAATTGTTTAATGCATGCCATTCAGAAGTGCTTTTATAACTGAATAAATCAAAATTTATATTTTTTAGGTATGTAGGAAATATTTAATTTTTAATATAAGTAATTATACAAAAAAAAAAAAAAATGCATGTAATGATACCGAAAAATGTATATTTTTTGACACGCAGAAGAAATGAGAGCGATATTTGTCCCGGATTGTTTTCACACGAAATACCTCCATGTCAGCTCAATTTAACACAATGCAGTTTATAGATATATGAAATGTAAATGAGATTTATAAATTAAGTCGAGCTATCACTTCATTTGATTGTTCATTTTTTTTTTCTTTTATTTGAAAATTGAGGCTTCAACAGCAAATATTATTAGCTATTAGATGTTACATATTTGATGTGTTAGGTGTTAGATTTAAAATCAGTGGTCGACTAGGCAAAATTAAAGAAGGGGACTCTATTTGCTTTAAAAAAAAGAACGTCCCCAAAACAGGCTGAGCATTATGATTATAGCGTAATAATAGTAGGGGGACGCTAAAATTTCTGAAAATTAGTTGGGGTACTTCGTCCCCCTGCGTCCCCCCACAAGTCGAGCACTGTTTAAAATTACAATATTACATAATATGTATTATATAATTATATCATATTATGAAATATTATATAGGTGAAGTTAGATGTAAATTAAGATTTACTAATAAAATATTTGTGATATTTAATAATGTGACTATTTTCAGAGTTTGTTTTTCGCTAAGTACTTTTACTATGTTGGATGGCATGTTCAGGTCGGTGCGTATTGAGGTAAATTGTGTACACTCCTCCACTATGTGTTCGACAGTTAATGATTAGTGGTATGTGTTACATGTTGGTTTGAGGATTTTTTCTAATTAAGTATGAGTGTTTGAGAAAAAAGTATTCATTCTAATCTTCTACAAATTTAAAATACTATAAAGTAGTACGATTTTGGGTTAATTCGAAAAAATTTTTATGCAATATCATATGACATACATTATATAATATATATATAAATATGAATTTTTTAAATTTTAAACAGAAAACTTATCGCGATCCATCGGTCGAAGACCATTGTCAGAGGCGGATTTCCCATTAGGCACTGTAGGCATCTGCCTAGGGCGGCAAAGTTTAGGGGCGGCTAATTCTGTAATGTTTTATTAGAAAACATTTAACGTATGCCAAAAAAATTGGAAAATTATTTACTTTATATTTACGAAAAATAATTGTATAATAATGGGTGCATTTTGTTAATATGTTATCGTCAGAATTTCGGGGAAAAATAAATATCCCCACTGCCACACTATACTACTAATTCGAATGTATGTTAATAATCCTATGCTGTTATTATGAAAATCTGTTTTTATTAAAATTTGGGGAACATCCAATGGCATTTTTTCAAAGTAGACTAATTAATTAAAGCGAAAAAAATAGTCTAAAAATTCAAACGAATGTTCATACGTTTGTATATTTAATATTTAGATTAGGTGTTTCGGAAGGGGTACTATAACTTCTTCGCCTATATAGGGGCGGCAAATTGTTGGTGCCTATAGTCGTAAAAAAGATAAATCCACCTCTTACCATTGTTGTGACAATATTACATGACAAACATTTTGAATGACAAAAATAGAGTATTCAGTGAAGAGAATGTATTTTTCATAAAACATAGGTAGAGTAGAAGATATATTTTAATCGTTTTTGAAACTTTAAAAGTTTTGTAAACAAAAATATAAAACAATAATTGTAAAAGTCAACTGTAACCGGTAAGACAGAAACGTTCCTAATAATGTGAGGGCCACAATAGTACAGGGAATATAGAATTACAGTTCACGGATGTAGATGATACACATAAGACCTATGACCTAATCGGACTCCGGATGGTGCGTTATTTTTATTTTATCCGACCAAAAATAACCATACGCGCTACCAACAAAACATGTGTCCCATTTATAGTTTGATTTGTTAATTATAATTATCATTGCAATTTTTAAAGAATAAAAAACAAAATACTATGTTGCAGAAGTGTTAACTGTTTATCTAAAACCAAATAATTGTACACAAAAATATGCATAATTAGCAATATTTTGTCCGAGTTTTCATTAAATTTCGTCAAACTTTAACAAAATAAATTCAAACACGCTTACCGTTAACAAATCGGAAAAACGAGAATTCGGACTAATACAAACGGCCTAAAAACCTATTATAATTCATAAATAATTTATAATTAATAACACAATGCAATATTTACAAATTAATGATTTTAGAACTAAATTTTAAAATGTAGTGTATTGTAATATCTTTCATTGCGTAGATTACTTTAAATGTTTTAGATAAAGACATCGTATTTCTAAAAAAATGTTCTCGATGTTGGTAATAGGCACATCCTTTGAAAATCAATATACCGGCTATTTTAACATAAAATTCAGTATTTTCAGATAGATTTTTTTAAAAAAGATTAATTTAAAAAATGTTAGACAAAATGAATTGTTCTACAAAACCATGACCGTTAAAAAAAATTTTTTTGAATAACTTTAAGGTATTATTTTTGGTTATAATTGTATTTGGTTATAAATTCGTTGCACCGAATAATACGAATTGGCCGTGAAATTAACGCAAAATAAATCTGCTTAAACATAAAACTTTTAATGCACATCTAGAGAATAAGATAAATTACTGTTTTTAATATCAGGTTCATATATTTGGTCATTTTTGAGATGTATTGTAGTGCTCAGTGAGCGAGTAAGTGACTGAGTGCATAGGCGTCACTAAGGGGTATCGAGAGGTATCTTTGCTACCCCAGAAATGTTTGTAAAGTAGCAAGGGTATCTTTTTGCTACTGCAAAAAAGTTATAGATTTTAAAAATATATTCGAAGTTCATTATTCAAGTGTGTACAAACATTGTGATAGTATCCAAAATAATTATATTTTGTGATAATTCCAATACGGACAATAAAACACTATACGTCATACCAAGATTTACGAAGAAGAGTTGACCAGTTATCATGTTAAATCTTTAAAAATTCATTTAAAAATTCATTTTTTAACTTTCTGAAAATAAACTTTGCTACCCCAAAATTTGGACTTTAGTGACGTCCATGACTGAATAGTATTTGAACTTTATATATACCTATATGTATTTTATACGGAGATTCTACGTAAGTACGTCTCATTATGAAGAACATAATGTCGTTTCATCACTTCAACTTTCAATCACTTTGTTACAAAAAATAAAAAACATAAAATTGCATTAGCTATGAACTATTATTGCAATATTTTATAAAAATACCATTAAACTTTTTTTTTTTTATAATAACCGCTGTTTTATTTTAAAATAAATAATTTACCTATAAATAATTAATGGAATTAATTATATTTCAAATCGAAAATATTACTTTTAAGAATAATTTAGGCTTAGAAATCTACTAAATAAAATACATAATATTGTATAAATTATATTCTAAATGTAATATAATTTATAATTAATTACATTATACTGACCGAACAGAATTACACGGACGAAAATGAATATAAATAAACGAAAACTAACGTTACTTAAAATCATAATATTGTTACAGCAAATCACTTGTAAAAATGTAAAGAACACTGTGTAGCAGCAAGACTTTAATTATACACTAAACTGATGATTAATAAAAATAACAGTGGTAGAACGAACTATTATTTTTTTTTTGCAACCACAATAATCATAGAGTAGGAGGTGATGATGGAAAGCGTGACAAATAATGATGAAATATATGGCCATTGCCATTGAAGCATACTATTAGTTTGGCGATATTTTACCTGGTATCATTTAATATTGGATTTGAATTATATTGTAAACGAATAAAAATAGGCACAACCATGCATAGTGCCTATGTATTAATGACTGCGTCTATTCGAGTTAGTGATTATAATAGATGTATTAGGTAATCATGTAATTTCACTAAAATATTGTAAAGATTTCACATTTTAAACCCAAACGCGTACGTTCATGTCCCAAGAACTGGTGACCACGGACATTCCACTTGGCGATACACTCAATGAAGTCACCCTGTTCTCGTGTCCGTTCAAAGTACCTGTACAAATAATGATACGCTCGTTTTATAATGATTATAAAATCTAATATTAGGTGTTGAAATATTTTCGCGCTATATTTTTTTTAAATTTTTTAATTTTGTAAGATATTAATGAATGAACTAATTAATGTACACACAGCGATGTTTTAGCAATTGTTCTATAGGACATGTACCTACGGTCAGCTAGGGCGAATAATACTTTAAGATGCGATGCGAAATATGTATTGATTTCACGTGAAATTAAGATCATATATCTTTAGATATATTATACTTAGATTTTATTGGTATGAAATTATCCTAGTTAAAATGTAAAAAAAAAAAATCGAAGACAATTAAAAATTACGTTATTTTAATCAAATATGATGATAATAGAATACCTACTCTTTACTAGTATTTTCACGTTGGTTTACTGCCTGAAAGTATATAACTTATATAAACGTTTAACCGAAAATAAAATAAAACATAATTGTAAAATAAATAAGTTCCTTGCTTTGCTTAAAATTTAAAAGGAAAATTATTCATAAGTTATGATCAGGGGTGTTCCCATAGGGTAATATTAGATATAGGCTGTATATTCTCAATATTTTTTTTCAATATTATAGGTACCTATACTGCGTAAACTCTCAAATCTCAATCGATTTGCGATTTTAACTCTTAAGATGTTTTTACAAAATTATAAGTATACTGCTTGTACCCAAATCATACAGTGTGAAAGTTGAAACCAGGGAAAAAAGAAAAGGAAATTGTAGAAGCTATTCAGAAAGGAATTCATAAAGGTATCAATATTACAATAAAAAAATTATGAGGAATCAATAGGCTGCAATTTTTGTAGAATCTAGTTGACAGAATGCGGCAGTACTTATTTGATGACTCAAAAAATAGTAAAATGCTAGAATACCTTCAGGTAATAAAAATTAGAAATAATAAAAATACAAAATTTAAATTTAACAATTATTTAAACAGTATAATTGTCATTTAAATTAAGTATTTTAGGTGATTGATGATGTGTTCAAAATAGCAACTAATGATGTCAAGGGAGAAAATGAAGTTAAAAGAGTATCGCGGAAATTAGGTTTATCCGAATTTGAAAGTGTACTTGATTTCTATTCAATAAATGCTTTTTCTAGTTTCATGAAGGTACTAAATTTGATGTTCATATCTATCAATGGCCCTTCAGTTGTAGATTTCAATCCACGACCTTATGTGAAGATTTGGTTGAAAGATCACCGTTCAGCAGTTTCAGATCTACGAGGTAAGGAACGAAAAGAATCAAACGATCAAAATAAGTGGCAGAAAATGTTTTTTACCATTGTATTTTATTAATTTTTTTAATATTTGTGTAAATTGACGATGTAATATAAAGAGGATGTTTAAAAAATCTGATTTAAAATTTTTTCCATATTATTGACACATTCCTAACCGGCTTTACTCTAATAAATCATAAAAAAATATTTTTATTGTATTAAATGTATATATTTTTGTATTTGATGATTTAGTATAGTCTCAAAAAAATTAATGGGAACACCTCTGGTTATAATACTTGTGAATGTGTGATTTGATTACCTTATACTGTTGGACGAAATCTTCAATCTCCTATACCTTATGAAGGTACGATAACAAGTAATAAGCGATTGTAAATTTATATTTTACCTTCATTTAAAAAAAAAAATAATTTTAATTTTCGATTCTATGGATATTATAAATTCGATTTTTGCTTAACTCTTATCTCTGTTGGCGTCAAATTTTATTTTACGCTTTAGCACGCATATCCCAAAATATCACTGATCAAGTATAATAGATACTTATATGGAGTATCAATAATATACTGCGGAATTACCATTGTGCTGAACTTTCATTGTGTCCCAAACATGCACTGAATTGTCGTCGCTACCGGCCAACAGAAATCTACCGGATGATGATAAGCCGCATGATGTGAAACCCGAAGTGGTATTCGGTGGCTTGTACATGGCGATTTGCTGATCAGATCTAATGTCGTACAGACGAGCAGATTTGTCTTCCGAAGCTGTTGCAAATCCATAGCCACTGTTGTGGAACTGTAACACAGTAGCGCAAATAGAGCTTAAATATTGGAGTGCTACATTATAAACCTACATAAAATCAATATTTTTTATTATATCATTATTATATTCACAATACTATTATAAGAAAAAATTTAACAATTTTTTTTACTATATTAAAATTTAAAGTGTCAAATATAATCTTCTGTCGGTATTAGCAAATGAGTATAATATTTCATCTGAAACAATGTAATTAACTATAGTTATCGATATTTTTAATTTACAACGACAAGGAATTTAAATTAAGTTAGGGGTGCTTGGGGGTAACAGTATTCAAGTACAAACTATTGACTTTTAATTTTTTTTTAATTATTTTTAAAATAGATCAAATCAAATCAATTATCAGGTAAATGCCCTTCACAAAATGTTAGTTAATTTTCACTGCAATATTAACTATAATAATTTAATTAATTCTAGTCACTTATGATAACATTACAGTTAGTTTTTTCTTTAAATATAAATATTTTAAAACGCTCTGTAATAAGCTATTTGTATGAAATTAAAGTTTTCAACTCAAATATTTCTAAAATTAGAACAATGATTATAATTTCAATATACATATATATATATATATAATAGCCTATTCCAAATGTGTTAAGGCCTACAGGTCGAGAAATACTAGATATATATAATATATATATATATACCAAGATTCATGTATAATTTACATACTTGTTTATTTTTAGATATTATTTTTCCCACATATTTGATGTAGTTATGTATAGTACTATGTAACTAAATTATTATTTTCACTATATTAAGCTGATGACACTAAATTAATCAATCATACAATTATCGGCAAAGAAAGTCGTAAATTTTATTGTTTAAATCATTAGAAAAATTTATACAATTTTTAATAGTTTGTACTTCACACTATATTTTGAATAAATGTCTATAGTTTGGAAAGTACTTTGCACTCAAAATATGAGCTTATATCTTCCGCTAATTTATTTAAAAGTATCATATAAATGATGTGTAAGCCAATTCTAAAATTATATTTTTGTTTAAGAAAATGTTTTTCCAGCTCAAATTAATGAGATTTTATAACACATTTTCTATTTTACGCACTTTACATTTTGCACAACACTAAGAAATGTGTCATAGTGCACACAATCAGTGGTATACATACGGGATTTCCGGGTTCAAACCCTTCCCCAAGGGCTAAAGAAAAAGAAAAAGAAAATTGTTTTATTATTGATGACATGTATTATATTCATAGGTAGTTTCATTATTACGCTTTGAGATTAAAATATATAACTATACAAATATTGTGATAATTAAACAATTATATCGATAGGTGTTTGAAAATTTTTGTTAACTATGCTGTTTTTATATTCCAATAGCTATTAATTTACTGTAATGTAAAAGTAAACTGTAAATTGGTAAAAAAGTTGTATAAAATAATATCTATTTATAGCAGTTATTTATCTTATTTATCTGTGCAACGAAAAAAAAAAGATAACGATTATTTTTATTAAGCCCCCCCCCTCAGAGAAAGATTGAATGTACGCCACTGCACATAATTATAGACTTTGTTTTATTGGTCCTGCTAGGTATACTGAATGTGTGTCAACATTGGTAATTTAAACCCCATGTAGTCATATAGATATCCTAGGATACTATTTATACGAGTATAAGCATGTGCAGTGAAACCTTTTTGAGACGGAATTAATCAATAATATCAGAACCTGTCAAAAATGAAGATTTGGTTATAGTTAGTCAGAAAATAATATAATATACGAATATACTTCCGTTTGCTAAGCTGATAAGTGATAAGCCGGAAACTGGTATAAAATAGAATATTTATTGGGTTCATGTGATTTAATTTTTTTACAGTTTTCATTGACACACTAATTAGGTAACAATAAATAATACATAGTAAAAGTATTTGGTCAACACTCAGCGATCTTATTCGGTTTATACTAGATTTTCAACTTAAGGTGAACTTATAATAGATAATTATTTTTAATACTATAGCATTTATAACTGTAGGAGAACGTACGCAAACGGAATTAACGTCGGCCTCGTGTCCGAAAAACATTTGTTTGCTTTTTAATTCCCTGAGATCCCATATTTTACATGTTTTGTCGACACTGCCTGTCACGAATGTACTTTGGTCTGGTGCCAGAGACAATGAGACGACATCTCCGCAATGAGCGCTTTCTACTTCATTTGTTTTTTTACCGGCTTCCAAGTCCCACATGCAACTATATGTAAAAGAACGAAACAATTAATGTTTTTGCTACTAAGTTTTTTCAAAGTAATAAGTTATCAAACATAAAATATTCGTTTATATACTTACTACTGTTTACGTGTTACATCGTTATGTTTCACACAATACTAAATAATTTCAAAAATAATTACATTTTCATGTCTCCCGATCCAGTGATTAACGTTTTATCATCGACAAATCGACATGAAGACAAGAAGCCTTCGTAGCCCAAAAGTTCACGAACCATTTTCGCTGCTCCGTTGGAATCGCGGTTGTTTAAGTCGTAAACTGTACACATATTATCCATTCCACCGCAGGCTATAATAATAGTTGCGGGGTTAATATAAAAACGAAAACATTTTCCCGTTTTAATAGTTTTCTTAAAAATAGTATGTATAGTAACCAATTTAGAACTCGGATGTTAATGACTTGCGTTTTTTTTTAAATGTTTGTTTTTTTGTTTATTCATTATTTTATATTATAATTTAAGGTGATTTTTAATTTTTTTTCCAACATTTGAGAAGTGAAAGATAAATCCAGTTTACACGCGATGATGGTTGCTGAACTAAACGGTTTCGAAATTTCTAAAATTTTAATTGTAATCAAAATTACGATTTCTTTAAAAGTTTTTAAAATTTATAAATCGTAAATGAAATTTGGTTTTGCAAAAAATTGTTTTTTCTTTTCAAAGTTGATTTTTCAAATTTAGAAAATAGCTTTCTGAAAAATAGTTTTTAAGAATCTAAACATCTAGACGTTGTGATCGTTTATTCAATTACTCAATGTTATACCAATATCATAATATATATTTTTTGAATAATATTTATGTATATTTTTTCAACGTTATCTCTCCACATACACTCATACAGATATATTTAATTTTATAGTACACGAGTTTATATACTAACCCACATAATTTCCGGTTGGTGCAAAGGCCACAGACATGACCCAGGCTGAGCGCAATGGTATGACTTGTACTTTATTACCAGTCCACGTGTCCCATATGATCAGTTTGCCGTCCAATGAACCGGAAACTGCGTGTCTGTAATTTTCATTTTGTGTGTGTTTTTATCATTAGACCAACAAAACGGTGATATTGTTATTATTCGTCTATATATATTACGAGTAAAATTATTACCTATTGTCACCGCTATAGTGGACAGAATTTACTTTATTAATGTGTCCTTTGAGCAGTTTTTTGGTAACCAATTTACATCTTGGAACGTCAGCCATTTCATTAGATATTTCTTCAATGGTCTTGTCTTGTTTGCTTTTTTGGTCTTGCTAAAACAATTTACACAGGGTAACGTTGAAATTCACATATCATAAAATATATTCCAAAATATTTAGAAGTAAATCAGATCTACAATTAAGTCATTTTTATAATTTCCTCGAGAAATATATAGGTAATTAACATCAAAGGTACACAATTAAAATTATTTATATATATTTTTTTTTATAAGTATAAAGTTATGATAAAAAAAATAAATATTTTGTATACATATTATATTATTAAGACTTACCAGTAGGATAAAACAGGCCAAAAAAACTGAATTTGCAAAAATAAAAACAAAAACAAACCCATGTCATAAAAAGTTATAAGGCTAAATTTGTTAATGGTTTTTGTAATAATGCAAGGATCAGAAAATGTCAGTGTAAAAATTGATAAAAAGTGTCATTTTTATTGGACGATACATAGGATTTATAAAATGAGTAGACCTTCTGCACATAAACTCATTGTTTGAAAATCAAAAGAATATGTGATCTTTATTTCAAAAAAACTGTTGACTTATGGCATAAAGAACTCCAACCATTTTAATCAAAGATTTAAAATATGCTCAGAATGTACTTCAGATATTATTTTGATCGATTTTAATGATGAAAAAATATTTAGATTCCGTAACAATATACATAAAAAAAAAGTGCATTCAATTCGAGATAACGAATAACTCAACTCGATAGAACGAAAATCTCGATAAATGAATGAAACTGTCGTTACCTTGAAATCTTGTGATGTAACAAAAAATTAAATGTAGTTTTGTCCCCCAGTTATAATAAAATTTTTTTGACCAAAGCTTTCGCTATGTAACAAATTTTTATAATTTTGGAGCTTGATGTTACGAATCATTGATTTTTAATAATTTATGATACCAGTTTGCTGGTGTATAATTATTATGAAAAATATAAATTATAAAACAAAAATTTCGGTGATTATCATGGGATAAGATAATTATCAAGTCGATAAATGACTCTACAACGTTATTGTAACTTCCAAAAGGAGCATAATCAGGCCTTCGCGCCATCTTAAATTATCTTCAGAGACATGACATCAACGATAGTGTGTTTTGTAATATTTTAAATTTGGAAAACGCTATTGACCCGGTAAACGCAACGTCTACGCACGAAAAAAATTACTGATTTTTTTAAAAAAAAATTAACACACAATTAAATAATGGCTCATGTATGTACGTACTAATTTTTATTTCTTCTTTTTTTCCAACTATTTGAGGCCGACCACTATAGTCTTAAACTTCCACTTGTCTGCATTTCCTGAATCCCCTACGCACACACTAACATCCCTCGTACCATTTTCAATCGTATCGAAACATCTCTTTTTTGGTCTTCATTTTCCTCGTTTTCCTTCAACGTTCGTTTTCATAACCAATCTTACTGATTTTGTTCCTTCTCGCCTCATCACATGACCAAAGTATCTTAGTCTATTTTTTCTCAAATTGTCAATACTACGTATTAATTTTTAATATCTATATCTATATTTAACTTATATATGTATACGATATTTATATTTATCCCTGTAAATATGTGTTATTTATTGAATATAAGTACACATTTGATGTATATCGGTCTGAATTTTGAATTTTTTTTTAAATCTCGTTAAAACGAATCTTGTTGATTTATGTTCTAATGAATTTTCGATAAACTGAACTTTTTTTTGTTCCCTTGAAATATATTTAAAGTTGAAAAATTAATTTTTATTCTCGTAAAAGTAAAAAAAAAAAAAGTGGAATTGATTTTTATTAAAACATATTAGCCACAAGATGCTGAATCGAAGAATTTATTTCAAAATTGTAATTTTATTTATTATTCCACTGAAGAAATCAGTAGTTTGAGTAAAACAATACATTTTTTTTTTTCAATGGACTTCAATAAACAACAATATATTGATCAATCAGGATTCAATTTTAATAATTCATCAGTATGGGCAGGTAAATGATAAATAAAATTGCACAGAGCTGGTGTTAGATATCGAGAGGTTCTAATTAGCTTTCGAAAGTTTTCGACCATGCACGTAATACTAAATAAAATTTTTTGGAAACAAAGATAACGATTATTTAAGAATAATAACGTACCCTTTGAAAAATAACCATTATTAATATTTTATGTAGCTACAAATTATATAGTGTCAATTAACAAGTAGCTTATGTATTTGTTGATCAATCAATTAAGTATTTTATAGTTTATAAAATTGGAGGAATAAATAAACGAACAATTATTTCACCATTCATTATAAAAATGGTAAGGTGAAATATGCTCTTCTATGGGAATAAACATTCAAAAATTTCAACTCATTCTCCGAGGTCCTGGGAATGGGACCGGTTTACCAACCACTTTCGTCAAACTCGAATCTGACTGAATACAGTTCCCTGTGATGTGATGTTAAATAAAAAAATTAAATATTGAATTAAAAAAATCATAATTTAATATAAATCAGTTATTTTATTACATTACACCTGCAATCTTCTGTTAACTTACAGTTTATTATAGATGGATTTTGAGTATTAGAAATAAAGTTAATGGCTTACTGGAATTATTAAGGTAGTTAAATAAGTATCAATAGTACAGATTTCCATTGATAAAACAGTTTGTAAATGAATCATGTTAAATTTTGTGTTGGGGTTGTCCAATAATTTTCATTTATGGTTCTGTCAATCTGTCTCATTTATTTAGTCCTTTAATTTATTGATCATTGACCTTTTATATGTTTCTAGTTTTTATTAATTTAATCATAATGAAAATACAAAAATATAAAAAATATTTTAAAAATTTTTTTTGGTTGGTACATGATTAAGTAGCCTTTTAATAATTTATATTGTATAAATTAGGTCAAATATTGGTTTAGACCCATGAATACTAGACATGGTTTAGTACAATTTTTGTTACTGTGTTGAAAATATTTTCCTCATATTGTTAATAATTTAAAACCAATATACATTTATTTTTACCCAACATAAATTAAAAAATTATCTTATCTGTAATTTCACTCAGTAAATTAGCAACTACCGGCATATCTCATTTTTGTTATAAAGAAATCAGTAATTTAGAATGTTTATTTCTTATTTGTAGTGTTTTATTAAGACAATATCTTTTGATTATAATGATACATTTAAATTGGAATTGTCTTGAAAAATAAAAAATAAATAATAATAACGATAAAACTTAAATATGATTAGTAAGAATAATTAAAACAAAATTAATAAATAGTTAATCAATTGTAACAAAATAATAAAAACAACAATTTTTAATTGTTTTATACTAAGTGAATAGTGAACACCTATTTGATGTATTTTTAAAATCAATTGAAACTACTCTTACAATTTAGAAATCATACAAATAAACATCTAATCCATATGACTAAAAATATGTCTACGTTGTTGTCTTTAAAAATCAATAGTAACCTTCTTAAAATATAATATGAAACCATAGTAAGTACTTTTAACATAAATACAAAACTATGATTTTGCTTTATTTTTAGTATTAATATAAAGTTTTAGAGGATATTTATTAAAGTGTTGAGTAAAAATATTATTTTACAATTTTATATTTTCTTCAAATTAATATCAATATTAATTAATAGTAGTAATTGAAGTTAATTAAATAAAAATATGGACATTTTTAAAAGTGCAGTTCAAACAAAACACAAAATGTCCTTATTTTTAAACTTAAATAATTGTTTTAAACATATAAATTAATATTTTTATTTTATAATTTTTATTATAAGTTAGTTTAGTAGTTCTATAATATATTCTAGATATTTTTTTCATAACAAAGTTATTTACTATAAAAAATTATATGCACATAAAGAAAAAGATAAAATTATAAATAACAAAATAGGAAACATTAATAAATCAAAAAGAACTGATTATAAAAAAATAATTTTCATTTATTTTCTAAAAAAAAAAAACCTTAAATTAACATAACAACAAATATACAACTCAATATAAATGTGTAATTACCTGACATTTAGCAATTAAATCTTCCAGTTCTTTTCTAAGAGCAATTAATTCAGGATCTTTAGGAGGCATTATTTATAATTATTATTTTATAGTATAAAATAATGAAATGTTTCGTTCACAAAAGTTGAGGATAAAGTGAATAATGAACATTATGTTTAATGTCATTAGTATGCTGAAATCCAATTAGACCAAATCAGGGCTTCTAGATGCATGTAGCGTACACACTGACTCTAACTATGGTTTAGTGCAGCTTGTGCTGCTTTTACTCTATTAGTTAACAATTTCAATTTATCATCACTAATATCTTTTGATGCATTTTTAATGAGAAAATGACTTAAAAATAATGATAGTCCTTCACGGAAAAATTGCAAACTTGGATTTTTTGATGCTTTTAAAAATATATTTGTTGTTTCTTCCTCACTTATATCTTGTAACACTTTGATTAAAGTTTGACGGACAAAGCTAACCATCAGTTTATTCAAACTTCCCCAGTCAACATTCTAATGAATAATTAAAAATACAATGAACACATTTATATATATATAAAAAAAAAAAAAAAAATAAGAAATAAATTACCTTTAAAATTGTGATAGGGAGTGAATTATTGCGTAACAACTGTGCTAAAAATGATGCAAGAATTGGTATTTGATTTTTTTTCAAATCTCTAATTTCTTCTAAACGTACATTGATTGATTTTTTGAAAAAAGCCTAAAAATTATTAATTACTTTTTAATTAATATCATTAATTAAGAGTACAATTATTTATTAAATACCTGGTATTTTCTGTCAGATTGACATAGTTGTTGTGAAATATAAGCAAAAAATGGATTATAAACTTTATAAACTAATAAACAATGAATTATTACACTGACTATTTCTTCTTGTTGCGGGCCTTTCAAACCCAACCGGACAAGTTTGTTGAATGCATCTAAATAATCCTATAAACAAATAAAATTTTATTAGAATTTTCTTTAAATAAAATAAATACTTTTATAATATTTACTTCAGCGGTAAATAGAATACAAAAAATATTTTTCCTGGTATCAGTATTCATACGATATTTTTTTGCCATTTCCAATAGTTTTTTATCATACAGGTCTTTTTTTTGTACCATATTTGTATTTTTCTGTTCATCACCTTTCCACGCTGAACCAACAATCCACCAACGACCTTTATTATCAGCTAAAAATTAATAAAAAAAAAACACATATATTATTTAGTCAAATCACATGATATTATTATTAATAGTTTATAGTTAAAACAATGTTAAGAAATAAATAAAAAAAAAAACTTTTGTAAGTTATACCAACCATTAAGTAAATCTTCATAGGATATAGCTAATTCTGCAGGCGTTTTATTATATTTGTAGTACGTACGTATCATTTTTTGCACATGTTCAATGTATGTTGAGTAACATTGTTCTGAACTAGTTGGTATTTTATTTATATTGTTATTTTTTATAGCTGACAAAATTTCCAACATAAATTTCACTCTAGAACTAATAACACAAATTATAATTTACAAATGTTTTTTTGAAAAAATGTATTATTCAAAAAAATCTCTTTTGTTTTTACCTTATGGTTGATTCATACAAATCTGAACTTTTTTTTTGTATATCTAATAATAATTTTTTGATTAATGAAGGATTATCTTTTCTTAAATTAAACCCGATAGTTCTTAAAATACTTAAAATTATGTCAATATGCTTTTCTTGAAATTGAATTAATAATTTATCCAAAATCTCAAAAATGAAACCGTTATGAAACACCTTAAACATAATAAAACAAAATTTAATTTAAAAATAAAGAAAAGATAAAATACCAAGATTAAATTTAAATTTTACAAATATCTAGATACTTCTACTATATATTTGTCTATGAAAAAATAATAGCAATTACAATCATGGTTGAAGCCTGAAAGTATCAGAGTTGTTGACATAGTATGAATAAATTCAGAGCAAGGGGTATTAATTAAACATGTGCCCCAAGTTATTTTTCAAAAATGAGTTGTACATACTTTAATGTATTGTATTATAACATGTTATATTTATTAATTTATATATCGAAACGCAATGAAAGATACAACAAAAACGAGTTTAATAATTTACATTGATTCGTAATAAAATGGTAATACTTAGTATGGTTAGTAATTAATACTAAATATAAAATATTTTAGAAAATAATAAATAATGAATCATTTGAAATTATTTATTTATTTATTTATTTTTTTATTAAATAGAATCTATTTATTACATAAATATAAAAATTACATAATAAACTTTTAGATTATCTACCTTCTAAAAGCAATGCTTGTGTTGAAAGTAGAGAGTGATAAATTACTTACAGATAGTAATTAAATAATATAAATACAAACAAAAGAATAATACTTAAAATAGAGTAAAACATATTGTATAACTACCCCATTGACAATATTAGCCAGTCATTAACAGTTTTTTTTGACATTTTTATGTTTATTTATTATATTCTTCTTAATAATATTTGGCATGGAATTAAAATAAGTAGGACCCAGGTAGTCAACGAATTTTTGACCAAAAGATTTTTTAAAATATATCACTTTAACATCGTATGCTAGATTTTCCCTTTTTGATTTTCCATTATTTTTAGTTATCCAACTATCTATGTTTTTACCAACCCATAAAATGGCAATTTTTTTAAATAGTAAATCCACAGGTAACACATTTATTAATTTAAAGTTTTGTCTTATTGATTATAATAAAAAGAAAAATATACTCAATATTATAAAAATGATCTATGTACTTACTTTAAATGTATATAGACAACATAATAACAGCATAATATTATCTGATTCTTTATCTTCAACTCTTATATTCTTATTTTCAATAAGTGAATTCAACTTGGTTGCTAAATTTTGTAAAAAAAATGCACCTACAAAAATATATAAATTTGATAATAGTTGTGTACATTGAATATACTAATTTAAAGATTAAAAATGAATAGTATGATTTTAATAATATTTTACAGAGACATATAAATTGCTGGAATAAACTTTTTATCACTCAAAAAATTTAATATTCCAGCAATAAAAAAATCAGGTTATCATATATCCTGGTCTTACAATGTATTTTCAGTTATCTATGATAAACTATATAATAATTATTGAGTTATCATCAGTTAAAATGATACTTAATAAAAAAAATACCTACAATAATAAAAAAAAAAACAGTCATTACATTTAAATACATCACCAATTTAAAATATTTTGAAATTTAAATTTTAAGACAAAAACATTTAGAATTTTAAAAAATGATGTAAGTTATATATTATAACTTGCAATGTGTAACTAAAAGTGAAATATTAAAATGGCCAACTTTAATAACATCTATTAAAGATTTATTTAATGTTATTTAAAATATAGTATTCAACAGATAGTTTTAAAATAAAATCAAAATATTTTCAATTCAATACTTTGTTTTTATAGTACTAAAATGTATTATAAATATTAGTGTATTTATAATAAATGTTACTAATAATTAAATGAAAAATCATTTTAAAATAAGTGATTATGAAATTTAAAAATGCATTTTTAAATAGATAAATAAATAATTAAATAAATAAATACATTTTTCATAAAAAAATTATTTAATTCTGTATAAAATAGGCTGTTGGAAAAAATGATTCTAATCAATGCACAAGTTATAAAAAATATTCCTATTAACAGTAAAAAAAATCTGGTAAAATATAAAAAAATCATTCCTTAGTCGTTAAGAGCAAAAATAATTTTAAATATATTGTTAATAAATTAATCATATATACAATGTGGTATTTAATTATTCTACATAGATTAGTGAGTTTATATAGTTACTTAATTATACATTAAAATAATTAGGATCATTAAGTTAGATCTTAGTACTTGATGGTACAAATTAGTACTACACATTTATTACTGGATTGTTTTATATTTAACATAATCTCTTAAGTAAAAGTTATTTATAAACAAATAACAAATATTTGATTATTATAGTTACCTATTTCACTTCCGACATTAGTGTGTAAGATGGTTATTAGTGTGCCACTTTCTACAACTATTCTGTAAGGTGTAATACATTCTGAATGAATAATAGCATCCGTTATACACTTGTATAATGTTTCATTCATATCATTTCGGCTATTAACTTGGTATAGGTCTTCTATCTGTAAATATGGATAAACAATCACATCAACAAATGTTGTAAAAAAAAAAATAAAAAAAAAATACTCAAAAACTTTACCTGTCTACTAATGCTATGCATATTAGTTTCAGCTAATCTATTTAAGAGTCCTTTGACTTGCTGTCGGAGGCGTTTAAGTTGTTCAGATTCTTCATTTTCTTTTTTCCTTAAATGTGGAGGTATGTAAGCTGAAGATTGTTTCTTTTATTGGAACAGATTGATTGATTAGAACAATATATATTACGTAAATAGTAAAATAAGCAACTTACTACTATAGTACCATCAGGTTTTCGTATTCTACCATAAATATCCTCTTTCAAACTTTTAGATTTTTTTTTGTTATTCTCATTAGTTTCTAATAAATTATTTGATTCATTATCAGAATATTCTGTTCCTGATGATTGTTTTTCATCATTATCATCATAATCAAAAGATTCTTCACGGTCATTACACTCTTCATCAGACATATCTTCATTCTCACATTCCTCGAAAGCTTCACCATCAGAAACATTTTCATCTTCAACGTCCTCATCAGACATTTCTTCATCAGATACATCATCATGTTCATAATCAAAAGTTTCTTCATCAGTTCCATTTTTATCAACACAATCAAATGTAACTTTTTTTTTTGATTTTATCTTGAGTTCTTTCTTATTCTTTTTAATTTTCAAACCATTAACAGTGTTGTAGTCATCATCAAAATTTGAATCAATATCCATCAAACTTTCTTTTAAAGTTGCACAGTTCTGACGAGTCTCTGGATCACACACATCCAATAAATCTAATTACATTTAATTAAGGATCATTGTATTTCAAAAAAATTAAAAAATATTGTAAATGAAAATTAAAAACTAAAACATGAAACAGTAATATTATTAGAAAGGATACAATCGAGTCCATCATCAACAAAAGACTTCCCAACAGTTTTCCTTTTATCCAATTTTAAATGTTTCGCCAATTTTTTGATTTCCTTGTCTTCATCTTCATTAGCCTGTATCATTTGTTCACGACGACTTTTTTCAAACTGTTTTTGTAATTTCATTTCTTCAACTTTTTCTTTATTCCTATCCATAACTCGCCAATCAATTGTGTTGGAAGTTTTAGGTGACTTTTTTTTTGTTGTTACCACTTTTTGTGCATCAACTTCTTTAGCTACTTGTTGCAAGGGTCTTTTGTTTTTTTTTTTCATTTGACGCATGGCCTTACGTTCTGCTTTCCTTGATTTGAAAACAAATCGCTGATTCGAGCTTGTTTTTACAGACGATTTGGTTTTCATTTTTCAACTAATAAAATCAAATAGACATTATTCGTCACGTAAAATTATAACTCAAATTACATTTGACTATATGGTATGGTTAAAAACTTACTTATTCTACAGCGTTCGTTATAAAAATAAATAAATTCAAATATTCGTACACTCGATAATCGCAACATTTGCAATTTCAAACGTTAGGAACATTTTTATCACTGGAAATCGTTATCACATTATAGAAATCCACGAGGATTTTATCACGGGACTTCGGTTACCTAACCGTGACAGAACTATGAGCATGTTCATGATCAGAACCATGATGCGCATAATCTACATCATGCGCAGAACACAGCGTTTAGACAAGAGCAAATATCTTATCAATTATCATATCGTATTTCTTATCAATTATTATAATATTATAATCGTTAAAAAGTTTTAAATCACAAAACGTTTTTTCAATTTGAAATTTTTAATTTTTTTTGTGAGTTGATTTATTAAAATATGTTCGAATGCCCATATTGTAATCGTCAATTTAGTAAAAAATGCAATTTAATTAAGCATATAAAATTACACATGAAGGGACGCACCATTAAAACTTCAAGATCATTGATAGATGCAGAAATTGAATTAAATATAATTAATATGAATTTTGTTTCATTTCAGGGTAAATATACTATTTTAATTTTGTGGGGGAGTAGGGAAAGTGGAAATCTCTATAGCACTATGTAGTAGAGATGGGCAAAATACATCGATTTTTTAAAAACATTGATGTTTTCGTCCGATATATCGAAACCCTACATCGATGTTTTTATTGCGATGAATTGAAAAAAAAAATCGATATTTTTCTAATCTGAATTTTGATGCGAACAGCTGTGATTATTCATGTGGTGCTGTTTGAATTTGTTGACGTTTTAGGAGATTACATTTTTTTTCGAAGCCATTAAACTTCACTTAATATTTACTAGTGTTAATGTGTGACGTTATTATGTCTTAAAAGTCATAAATGGAAAGCTAATTTTATATTTGACGTACCTATATGAGTGTGTAGCAGTCTACTTTGTCTGCTTCAGATAAAGGACCAATCCAGAAAAATGTTAGGTTATTTAAATTAATTCATCTAGGATAGTGTATGCATACGGTTAGTTATTGATTTGTAACGTAAATATATTATGATTAAATTTTGTTTAAGAAAAACGTGAAATCTATTCACTTCTCTTCCATAGCAAAGGAGAAATATTTTAGGTGTCAATAAGAACTTCATCAAATAAGCGATTAGAGAGAAATGTTGGTTTGTCTACTATCTTTGACAATAAAATTTAAAGCATAAAAAATAACTAAGAAAAAAAAGTAGGCACAAGTATTTTCGTATAATCTAAACGTAATTCAATTTGTAAACAAATATGGTTACGGTTATAGAGTTTTGCCCAAGACGTTATACATGATATGATACTATCCGGCCCGTGACAATTTTATAAAAATTAAAAATTTGTATAGGTGTAAAAAAAAATTATTATTTAAAAATTATTTTAATTATTTTATTATGCTTTTAAGAATTACAAAATATCTTATAATTTTTAATTTTAATGTAAAAAAAAAAAAAAAATTTATTGGATTTTAGAATATTAATAGAAATGAATTAGTGTAAAATTTGAGCTTGTATTTCTTTAACTAATCTTTCAATATTCAATATGTAACGCCAATTCTTAATAAGAAGTGTGTAATTGTTCATCAGTCAATCGCGATCTTTCTGAACATTTTGCGTAATTCATGTGTGAAAACGTTTGTTCGCCAATATAAGTAGAACTACATAATGTAAATATACACATTGATAATTCTTTTATTTTTGGAAAATTATCAGTAAGGGTCTTATAAAAATGTATGAAATCTGTGTTTTAATCTGTGATTTATTTATATAAATCTTTCAAATGATTATTTATTTTTAAATCAATAAGTTCAAGTTGAACAGTTTCTTGAATATAATTTTCATCAGACAGAAATAGATTTTCAATCATCCGAAATTAAATCATATGTGATTTGAAATCTTGAAAATGGTTTTCAAATTCTATTGATAATTTTTTCAACATTTTCACAAAATGATTTGTCGGAACGTGAATAAAAGAGTTTTGTTTAATTTTTTGCCACGTTTTAAAATGTAAAAATATTGCTTTAAAATTTTGTTTTTAAAAAGTTGTAATTTTATTTCAAACGATTTTACATCACTAATAAGCTTGAAAATAGTTTTAGTCATAAATTCGATAAGTGAACAAATATAATATTATATCCGATAAAATGTACAATAGATATACCTAATGTATATTTTATTGAAATTAAAAAAAAAAAAAAAGACTGTGAAGTATATACGGCCAGGAATATAAATATAAATTTCGAACGTGGCCCGCAAGTTGAAAAAGGTTGGGCACGCCTGGTATATTATGTGCAGTTATGCTGCGATATTGCCTAAAAATAACGCCCGGTTTGCGATGCATATTTTGTTGTACAGTATTATGTTCTACAAATCAATTATGTGAAATTTATTGAGTGTAATCATTTTGTAATTATGATTCGTTTTTTTTTATTTATATTATTCTATCAAACTTTGGAGTAGTAAGTAGTATATTGTATCGGAAGCTTGCTGTTTTCTAAATCCGAAGATATGCAAATATTTTAGAAGTTTTATTCGATATAAAGAAATATGTGTATATACCATTATGTATATCACCCAATTTTGTGGTTGTGAAGTTAATTCGACCATGTGATGATTGACAATGGTTTTAATTGTAATATAAATATATACGATGAATAATTTATACTTGAAATCTGTATGTTATCTTTTTCTTTTTTTTTTTTTTTTTTAATTTGCCTTTGTTCCCACATTACAGCAAATCGATTACATAATAGTATCTTATCTTGTATTGACTTATTTGTTCATCATACTTTGTGGTGAATTCAGTCTTAAAACAGGAAGGCTTGATATACTAACAGATTAATCATCAAACTACCATTTATCATAGTATTATCGATATTTAAATTCAATTCCAAACATGATTATTATGATTAAAACATATATAAATATTTTATAAATAGCTAAATTATTCATATTCGCATGAAAAAAAAATAAGACTGGGTAAAAATTATTGCAAAAACCGCAGTGTTGAATTTCGTTTATGGTTGTGTGTATTTTTGTATTTTTTGTTGATTAAATTTTGGACAATCATACCAGTGTAAGCTTACAGAAAATTACAATTATTGATGTTGACTATAGCAGATTGGCTATTAATAGTATAGTAAAATATATGCTGGCTGAAATTAAATTGATTGTTGTAAAATCAACAATATGAAATTAGTTTATTATGTTTTAGACGGTACATACGCTAGTATGTTGTTTAAATTTTGTTCAAGGTTTTAAAAGTATTGAAGTCAGTGAATTTTTTTTGTACCTTTTAGAATCTTTTTCTACCTATTTAATCTTCAAGACCAGATGATGATTGAATACAATCCTGTGATGAACGAATTAAAAATAGACGGACGAGCTATGATGAAGAAATTATGATCGAATTATATTACGGTCGTATACTAACATTTTTTTTAGTTATAGTTCTAAGTTGTAGCACTAAAAATGTTATTTTTTTAGCTCTTAAATATACACTTAAAAATTTTAAAATATGCGCTATCAATAGCACGAATAATCAAAAAAATATGCATTTGAGTTGAAAAAATTATAAATTTATTAGAATCAAAATGTAATTTTACAAATTTTTGAGCTCATATACACTGTCTGGACGGGTTGAATAATAAACTGCTAACAATAATGTTAAATTACTTTAATATATTTGTAAAAATGTACTTACTATTAAATTATTTATTATATTTAACTTGGAAACTATCTCGCATTATTGAAATATTTGATATTCTAATGCAATGATATAATAAGGGAATAACAATGACGTCACTATTATACGTAAAATTATCGATGTAAACATAAAATAATATTTGATGAAGTCTATTTATTTTCAATAATTCAAATATTTTTAAAAATATAACCAAGTAAATACAATTTTTATCAACAAAATATGATTATTTCCTGTATTATGTAAAAATATACCCGAAAATATCAATATAAAACCTAAATTAGCAAAATAGCAATAAAACCCGTAAATATGCCAAAAATAGCAAAATTAAATTTTGTGTATGATATCCGAGTAGTGTGAAACATATTTGTATCTTACTTTGTATGTTCTAGAATGAATCAAGAAAAATATGCATTTGCTAGAATTTCCGAGCTCTGGTTATAATTATAAGTTATAGATGACAGCTAAGTAAAATTTAGTAAACTAGTGTAAGATTTATTTAATAATAATTAACTATAGTTGAAATATTTTAGCAATAGTTTACTGTAGTTAATTGTAATTAAAATTAATTAGTATAATCTAACAATAGTTAATTGTAGTTAATATTAATTAGAATAATTTAAAAATAGTTAATTGTAGTTAATATTAATTAAAATTATTTAACAATAGTCAATCGTAATTAATTTTAGTAAGTAGACGTTTAATCTTAGAATTAGGTTTTATGATAAGCATATTACATTTTATAATATTAACTATAGTTGGAATATTTTAGCAGTAATTGATTGTAGTTAATTATAATTAATATTAATTAGAATAATTTAACAATAGTTAATCATAGTTAATTTTAGTAAGTAGACGTTTAATCTTAGAATTAGGTTTTATGATAAGCATATTAAATTAAATTAACTATTATTACCTAGTAAATTAGTATAAGTTTTAATTAGTATCAATTAATTTAGTTAAGAATTATTTAGCAGTAATTAAATGTAGTGTAGTTATCAGTGCTCAATCTAGGTAGGGTATTAAATGTATTTGCCTCAGGCGCTGTTTGTATAAGGGCATTCTTGAGTTTTTGAAAATTAAAAAAGTCATGAACATACTCCGTACTCTTCCACTTACGTGAGGGCTCTGAATTTTTTGTCAAGTTTCGAAGATCCGTCACTGACAGTATAAATTAGTAGTAGTTAGATCATATGATTAAGTATAATGATAAGCGGTGAGGATATCAGAATTTTTGGCGTTATTTCAGGCTTAATAATACATAAAGTTATATTTTTAATAGAATCAAAACTAAATATTCATTAGAAATACATTTTTTTTTACAAACATATCGCTATAATTTAATTAATTAATTAACTACATATTAATGATGATTAGTGTCAATAGTAAATCTTAG